CCCCAAAACCCCAAAACCCCAAAACCCCAAAACCCCATAAAGAGTACTCAAATAGAGAATCAACAATAATATTAAATCTGAAATTATTAAGAAATGGAGTAAGTCAAACGAGAATTTCAATAGATCTGGGAACAATCAACTTTCTTAGCCCTAGAGCGCTGGTACTTTCGAGGTAACATGAGGGCTATTCTTCTGTTCAGTTGCTGGCTGTGGCGGGTATACAAGGTTTATACCACTATCCAATAAATGGTCAATGAACTTTAGAACAATTGCTTCATATAATTTTTAGGAAGTGAGGTCAAATTCTATGTTACTTCTGAGCGATTTGCAACTCAATTTAAGCTCAATATTATTCCTTCTTCTTGTTTTGTCTCTCTGACCTTGTTCTAGCGAAAGTTATTATAATCAGTTTAAAATCAAAGGTAAGCTCACCAGCTGACCATAGGGGTAGAAGAGAATGCTAATTTCAATGTTGTCAGATGCTCCCTTTACTTTGATAACAAGATGAGTAAGGACAAGGGCAAACCTAAGCAGCATAATATTTTTGAGTTCTTGGGTGTTAGCAGAAGAGGTAGCTGTCAAAAATGTAATTTTATTCCTAATATTCAGCATATGTAAAGAACCACAAAGTATCTCCTCTAGCAGCCAGCGGCTTGCTAAACGGTTCGAAGTGTAAGTCTAAGTGTTTGTTACTACATTCCATCCATTACCTTCGAATTTATTCATATTTTTATAGGTGAAGGGAGGAGCTCCTTTGCCAAGAATATTCCCAAAAAGCCAGAAAGAGGATGATCTAAGTACAAGAAAACCGTACATAATTAACATTAGTAGGCTCTTTAATACATTAATCTAATAACCTAATCTTTTGTCTTTGTGTTAGCTCTGGCCGAGTATTTCTTTAAGCGCACGATTAATTTCAAAGTTACATTTTAGCCCATCTCTTTCATTCTTTGACAAGTTTTGGGGAAGCCCTCACCAATGACTCCCGGTGAGGAGGAAGGATCGGTTTGAAGGAGCTCAATTAATTGCTAGTCTTCTGTACTTAATATTTCGAAAAATCATAAACTCTAATAGGCTGATTTCAATTTATTTCCCCCAAAATGGGGTTTTGGGGTTTTGGGGTTTTGGGGTTTTGGGGTTTTGGGG